CCCCAATTGTTTCCTCATTACAGACACCCCAGACAAGATCATCATTGTGTGGAGCACATTCAACAAAACCGGAGACACCACGGTGCTCTATGGCAAAAATGGTAAACCCACACAGAAGGCCACGGGTAGTGTCACCACCTTCACGGACCAGGGCCCAGAGAAACGGATTCAGTACATCCACCGGGTGATCCTGACAGGACTTGAGCCAAAGACTGACTACAGTAAGGTTTATCGATGCGAGGGCGCCACCAGTGGGTCCTTCCTCTGTTGCATCCATGTATTATTTTTATCTATTATCTTGCTCTTTCTTCGCACTGAATTGTTATCACAATGTCTGCTTGCTTTTTTTCTTTTTGTTCAAACAGCAATTCACATGCAGTTAGTCTCCAAGACATTTTCAGTTACAGTCAAACTTACTTACTCTAATGACCACCCATCCTAAACAAAAGTCAAAAGGGTATAATGGTAAGAAAGATACTTTGGAAGTCTAAGTCGAGGAAAGCAGGCCTATTTGACATCTATCTACCATCAGAATGTAGATATTACTTTAACGGAATAGAAGATTAGTGTCAGGGTAATAGAACTGTTGTATTTCTTAAATTTAAACATCTTACAGTCCTTGCAAGTGGCATTTCATAACCAACCTATTATATACGTCAATGTGTAGCAATTGTTGATCCATCTTTTTTTCTCAGCTTATATGGTGGGAAGTGAAGCCTATGGCTTTTCCGACATCTTCGTGTTCCGCACTTGGCCAGCCGGAGAGAACTGGTCCCCTTCCTTGGCTATTTTTGGAGACCTGGGCAACGAGAATGCTCAGTCATTGCCAAGACTGGAGGTAGATGCTGCAGCGGGGATGTACGACGCCATCCTTCATGTTGGTAAGTGGCTCTCCTCCACTGACGGGAGGCTCAAAGGACCCATCGCGCTTGTAAACAGATTTTTTACACTCCAGAAATATGTTCGGAAATGATTATTAAATGAGGCACTCTGCCAGAGATGAAGCATATTTGAGATTTTCTAGACGTAGCAAGAAACTTTTAAGTTACAAAGGTGTAACTTATGCTCACCCGCACATAGCACAACAGAATAATTATTGCAGGCAGCAGATTCTTCTAAAAACAAGCTGAGAGAGGTGAAGCCTAGGAACATTTTTTACTGCCAGCTGTATGAACTCTGTAATTTTTGCCTAAAGAAACCGTGGTTAGCACACTTCTGTTTCATGTCTTGCATATGTATATAAATGTGTATATATATATATATCCACTGGGCAACCATAAATTTATCATGTTTTGTGTCTGTTAGTGAGGAAAGGAGTAAACCAGTGAGCTAGAGTGGAAGAAAAAGAGATACAGAGAGAGAGAGAGATTGTTTTGTATTGATATAAAGCTTTGTGTGTATATATTTTATGTTACGGAAGTTGATGAAAGCGTACGATTCTTTTCATCAGGTAGAAGCCACAGACAATATGCATACGAGTATATGTTCATGTGTTTACAGTTGAACCTGCTGTGACAGCCACCTTTATAAGACAAGACAATCACATGTACAAATGGCCACTTCCCATCCCTCTGGATTTTTTTAACAGTATAATGACACTGTGTAAGATGGCCACTTTTCTCTTCGACAAAGGCTTGGCCGTCTTAGACAGTTTTGACTATTTATATATATCTTATGTCGTTGTTTTAACTGACACTTCAAGAAAAATAACCTCTGTCTGAGCTGTCACACTAGTGAAGTTGCATATCATCTTTGAAGCAAACTATGTCATAAAAGTCTGTCATTAAATATGTTTTGCTCTTTGAAATATAAAGGCTGTCATTCTGAAATTTCACTTTGTATATCGGTGTAAATAAATGAAAATGTTTTGATTTATTGTGCATAAATAGGCAGAATCAAAATAAACAACCGATTAACATTGTTCAATTCCCTTCTTCTGCAGGTGACTTTGCGTATGATCTTGATGTGGTAAGTGCTTGTGTTGACTATTTTAAGATATAACTATTTTATTCTTCCACTTATCTTGTCTCTGATTTTCTTCCTTCAGGAGATATTGCCTATGACATGGACAATGTAAGTGGACTGCACCGAAAGCCATAATTTTTCTCGAAGAATTGACGTTGCTTTTTACATTTTAAAAAATTGTCTTTGAATTCTCTGGCTTGGAGTTTCCAAAAAGTAAGGGAAGATTCAACTTTTGCACATCCTTTCTGGTTCTCGGTAACTGAAACATGTTAATGTTCGTTTCCCTGTTCAAGGAGATGCGGGTAAAAACCTGTAGAAATTGACTAGTAGCTGAATATCCAAAGAATGATATTTTCTCAAGCATAAAGCCTTTTTTTCTGTGTTGCCTGAAAGAAGAACCGAAAAAGCTTGTGGATTAAAAGAAAATAATGATAATAAACCTATTTTGCTGGATCTAAAAGACAATAGCTTTTTAATTCCCTATTTTCCCCTTTCACATCAAATTTTCCTTTTTGTTTTCAGCATTTAAAGTGTTATAGATTGTACTTGCTCCAAATCCACTGTGACGTGGCAAGGATGCATTGTATTGTGTGATTGCTGAAATTCATTAATAAACTTTAGGGAGTTATCCAATAAAAGGCAGTCTGTTTAGCTAGGGGAACTGCCACACTAGATTCACACATTGGAGGCATTTCTGATATGGTTTGATGACTGAAATTTGGAAATTTCAGCTCCTGAAAAGAAATGGGAAGTAAGATTACTACCAAATTATCAAATACTAGCTGGGCCCCCTTTCGATGAAAGGAATGATTGGTGCTTTAATTTCAACTAAAAGTAGTTTGCCCACTATATTAACACTCTACTGGAATGGGGCAATATATCTTGAGAGATGCAATAAATAAGGTCTAGATCTATACTCTCAAAACAAAATGCGCCTCGTTAAATATCACTTCCGGGTTTTCTAAAATTACAGAAGCGTCAGCATACAAAAGCGATCAGCGAAATAAAGAAAGTTAGCTTTTTGGAGCAAAACTGTCTCAAAACTGAAAAAACGAAGGGCGTCATGATCTGGAGAATATTTTAAAGAATCTTTTGGCGAAAACCGCATGTCGATCGATGCTGCCATTAAAAAGCCTTTTGAATAGCAAAATTCAGCCACCACAAATAGATAATAGATTCAGTGATCCTGTTTGTGCAGTCCATTCACACTACGTGAAATCACTCCAAATCAGAATTTTCAGGTGTGCCAATGTGCACACTCTTTGAACTAAAGCTCTGAATGTTTTAAAGTAATATTTCCTGGTGCCAGATTGAAAAGTGAGATACCTTTATCATTTGTTCAAATTTCAACTTCAGTAGAAAGATCTACCTTTTTAACTGAATTTTAACTGCACTTACCCCCCTTTCCCAAATTAGGAACTACTTTTTTATTTGTGCGAACTGAGTCTTACTCTTAGTATGGCCCGGAAACTTATGGCCTCATTTGAGGTTCACAACCAGTTTTCTTTTACCAAACCCTTCTTCCTGACCTCTTAGGTCAGACCTGCCACAGTGTTGTGGATTTTTTTTCATATTATCCCCATCTTGTGTGTTATTCTTTGAAATTTGTCTTTCTATCATGAATATTTTTTTCCCCTATGGTTTTTTCTTTATAGAGTGCTTGGTGTTATGCAACAGGCCTTTGAACCCTGCTTTTTCCCTCTTTTCTGTGTTACTGCCTCTCTATGTACTGGTGTCTGTGCAGTGGTTAGGCTGTTGCATTCAATGCAAAAGAATTGAGGTTGATTCCTCTAAATATGTGGATGTGAGGGTCTTGATCTAACTGACTTTTTATGTTATTATGTTACAATCCTACATTTTCTTGAAATGTCAGTTTTCTGAACTTATGGTGTGAAACATGTTTTTGATTCTATTTTATATTCTTGTGGACATGTCTTTCAGGGAATATGTTCTGTGATGTTGTCCATTCCTGTTTCCTTTGTGTAGATGTGACCTGAGAAAGGCTTCACTTCCATGGGCGCCCTTTGCTCAACAGTTACGACTGTATTAATGAATTCATGATGTAATGCCAGAACTTGAGAAATAGTCATAACAAAATTTTGTAAATTAGCGTGTGTTTAATTGACTTAGATTTATTACAGTTAACAATCTTCTCTATTAAAGTATTAGAAAAAGTTCTGAGCTTTAAAAACAAACTTATTTTGGTTCTATTAATGGGGATTTGATTCTACCCTTACAGCAGTTTCTAGAAGTCTTAGGAATTAATTTCCAGAAGAAAGAGATATATGTCTTTTTTTGTCAGTTCTACTCGTGTTACTACATATACAGTAATTATGGTTTGACTGGGTGGTTGGTGGGTGCTCTTGTGTAATCTGCTCTTTGTCTTTTTTTAGAAATGAAATAGATTAATAAAATCCCAGTTTTACTGATCAGTCGTCATGGGGAAATTTGGCTTTCTATGGGTTGACATACACATACGTAACATTAATATGATGGTACATAAATACATAGATACATACATACTGACACATGGGGACATTTGGTTTACAATGGCATACATAATATATTATACATGACATTAATATGGCACATAGACATATAGATGTATACACACTGAAACATGGGGAAATTTAGTTTACAATGGCATAACGTATTATACATGACATTAATATGGTACATAGATACATACACATACTAAAACATGAGGAAATTTGGTTTACAATGGCATACGTAATATATTGTACTTGACATTAATTTAATTTGGTACATAGATACACTCATGATACTGAAACATGGTGAAAATTGGTTTATAATGGCATAACGTATATTATATGTGACATTAATATGATACATAAACATATAGATACATACATACTGACCCGTGGGGAAATTTGGTTTACTATGACCAGAGAGGGTTTACAATAATAGAGAGGTGACACTCGTGGCGGCGCTCCATAACAACAATGCATTGTTTCGCGTATCGCCCGGCGCGGGGCACGAAAACACTTACGCGCGGTGATCGCTGCCACGGCGATGCTCAGTGATGCTGTCATGTCATGAGAAAATGTAGTACCTTAGATAGTTCACTAAGTTACCTGTAACAAAGAAGGAGGCCTGGGAATTCTATATCATATTTTAGGAAACCCCCTGCCTTCCTTGACCATAAACTGTAGGCGTAAGACTTGTTTTTGGCTGAAGTTAACATGCATTCTAATAGACAAATAGACACAGATACATTACTGCCTCTCTATAGATCAGGAAAAAGGAATAATCGGTTTAATTTTCAGTAAATCTACTCGTTCTCCAGTGTCCCTCTGTCATCTCTCTCCCTCTCTGTTGGTCTGTCAGTCTTTTTTTCTCTTTCTGTCTCTTTTTCTCTCTCCATGTCTCTCTTTCTCACACTCTCTCCCTCTGTCTACCTGTCTGTCTGTCTGTCTGTCTGTCTGTCTGTCTGTCTGTCTGTCTGTCTGTCTCTCTCTCTCGTTCTTTCTCTCTCTCTCTCTTTCTCTCTCTGTCTCTCTGTCTCTGTCTGTCTGTCTGTCTGT